TAACCAAAAATAGACTTACAAAAAGGATAAATTAAATCGCACATTCAATACCAAAACACTAGAGTAAAAACTGAACTTGAATAAAGGTATTCTAATGTAGGATATTTTTTTCAAATGTGTAATGTTAAAATTCACTAGTAATATTTGATAAAAAAGTCATGTTGATTTATATTCTTTTATAAAGTACTTTAACTACAATGTTTCATTTCGGGTACAAAGCCTCCTAGTTCGATAGAAATCATTAGTTGACTAATGATCAATTATTATTGTTGACATGTCAAGTCTTATGTGTCAAAAGTGATGACATAACATGTTTCATATCATCACTTTAGACATATAACAATGACACATAATCACTTTGAACATGTAACACGTGTCACTATCATTTTGTAGTTTGTACATGTGGTATGTGTCACATCATCACTTTGAACACGTGATATGTGTCACATCATCACTTTGAACACGTGGTATGTGTCACGTCGGTACTTTGAACACATATAACTTATCACATCAACGATAAATATTGATCGTTAATCAAATAACGATTTTCATCCGACCAGGAATATTCTTCCCTAAAATGAAACATTGAAAATTAAAATACTCTAAAAATTGAATAGAAATAAAAGTGATTGTTTAATCAAACGTTACAAGTATAATTTATACAATCATAAAAAAAATTTAAATAGAATCTTAACGTGCTGTTTGAATGGACATTTTTAAAATTTTAAAGATTTTTAAAATATTAGTATTTGAAATATATTAATTAAAGATATCGGTAAGTAAGTTTTCTTAATAAATTATAGACAATTAGAATTTCACAAGTTTAAAAATGATTATAAAATAAGTTTAACAGGTATTCTTTCATTACATGAAACCAGGGCCGGTCCAATGAGTTTTAATGTCCTGGGCAAGATAATATTTTTATGCCCCTATACTTGTACCGTATAATAGACAAAACATAAATAATATTTTTAAAACAATTATAATCCGAAACAGGACAAGGTCAAGCTACCATGATAATTCCAATTATATGGTGCAACAAGTCTACAGGACGGATAATAAGCTGGCTGAAGATAAGCTCAATAGAAGAACATCCTCTATAACAGATTAACAAATAGAAAAATATTTTGAGACATTCTACAGTTGCTGAGAAAAGGATCAACTACATACCGAACAGCAGAAGGTGAAGCAACAGCAACAACCCGGTGCAAATAGGGCTTTCTCCAAGACAATTTGATCAACATGATCAACAGGTACTTGAAAGGAATGAGCATTGTCAATTGACAATTGTAAACAATCTTCAATTACTGATCAAATTTGAGGATTTTGATTTCAATGAAAAGCAAGACTACTCCATATGCTATGCCATAACTATAAATGATTCTTACATCTACAAACAGCAAATCAAGTGCAACTAATTAATTTACATATAAGTTGATGGATAGTGTTCCAGCAGCACCCCAAGCTAATGTAGGAAAAATATCTCAGATTATGAAGCAACTATAGACTTCCATATATACTCTAAACTAAAAATGATACAAACTCGTGCACCTAGATGATTGCATTAGTAAGAAGTAGAACAACCAATAGTTTCAGAGGAAATTTCCAATTTTTCAACCATTCAAGGTCATAAATCTCAACTTCCTACAGCTAAATAAGTGTCATTGGATCCACAAAACAAAGTTCAGATTATTGAGTGCACCTAGATAGATATAACATAGTGCATTTGAATTAAAAATCGTTTGTGAAAAAGGTTCAATTTTTTTAATCTCGATTAAAATTTATCAAAGTTCATATTGGAAGGGAAAATCCTATTTCAAGAAATCACTTTTTCCCCTTCTAATATCATTATTTATATAAACTAGGATAACCAAGGAAAGAATTCCTATGGATTTTTATTCCAAAATCCAGAATCCAGTGAACGATTTTCAATATATGGTAAAAAATGAACTATTTTTCTTTCAAGTTCCAAATAAAAAGTGATAAAAGCGAAACTCTAAGTAACTTATTAACTTAATAAAAACATCAGAAGCATTTAAAAAGGGGAAATCAAAGAAGAAAGTGAAAGTATAAACCAGAGCGTCAATGAGCTTGGTGTTTTTGCCTCGTTCTCTGGTGACGACGAGTCGACGACTTTCGAATTTGAAGAAGCAACATGCCGAATCACTTGCGAAGTCGACTTAGACGAAGTTGAAGAAACTCCCATTCTCGTACGAGAGAAACAAATTCGCGTTTGAAGTTGCAGAGAGGCAGAATAAAGTAGCCATGGCAGAGGAAGAGGAGAGAGAGAGGGAAGAGAAAATAACTCCATTGAAACGTGTTGCCCCAGAAAACTGATGCCCCTTAAACATTGATGCCCTGTGCATTGATGCCCTGTGCGATCGCCCATCCGGCACATGTATTGGGCCGGCCTTGCATGAAACTATCCAAGAACGGTATGATTAAAGGTGTGACGCTTAAGCGCATACGAAGAAAGCTTGTGACCGGGTTGAATGATATTTTTTTGAAGGCGGTTAGTCTAAATTAGGTTTTGCTTCTAAATTTGGTGAGTTTGACTATGCATTGTGTTTCATTGGTCACCTATTACTTGCACATTAACGGAAACGATTTTATGTAAAAAAAAAACCCTCCAATAATTAATTATTTGAAAAATAGCCACAAACAGTTTTTTTTTTGGAAAAATAACCCTCGATCAGTTTTAGAAAAATGATCCTCAAATCTTGTGTTTTACAAAAAGTCATTAATATCTCGCATTTTACGAAATACAAGTTACATACATTTATAGTGCCCTTTATCCATAAATTAAATTAAGTTATCTGAAAAATTAATGAATTTTACGTTTTACAAAACGCGATATCTTTAAAACACGTTATGTAGAATACGATATAGTTCTACGTTTACAATTTGAGGGTCATTTTTTAAATAATTTTGTTTTAGGGTTGTTTTTCTATTTAATTAATTATTGAGGGGTTTTTTTTTAATTTTACATAAGATCGCCATTAACGGAAAGCTCAGAGATGATTTCAGGCCGGAGAGAAGGTTATGACAAGTTGATCTATTATCCCCATATTTAATTTTATTGTGTTAACATGGCTTATCAGCTTTGTTGACTAGCCAGCAACGATCGAATTAGATTAGAGGTATTCGGGTTAACCAATAGGGTCCCCGGGCGAACCACTTATTCTATGCAGATGACCTCATGATATTTTTCAAGAATTCAAGTATTCAACTATCGAGGCTCGTCACCTTAAGGATTTCCTTGATGTTTATGAAATTAGTTTAGGTCAGAAGGTAAATTACTCAAAATCTATGTTATTTTTCAGTACAAACACAATTGAGCCTATCCGATAAAAAATCTCTACTATTTTGAGAGTTCGTGATGAATCAGATCCAGGTCTATATTTAGGAATGCCCAGGTCAAAACAAGACGACTACCTTTGGGTATCTGAGAGAGAGAGTGTTCCAACGTATGAAGAGTTGGACGAAGAATCTTTTGTCTCATGGTGGTCATGAGGTTTTCATTAAATACGTTGCACAAGTGCTACCGACATACATCATGACTTGCTATTTGCTGTCGGATGATTTTGTTAATGACTCGGACTCTATCATGCAGGATTATTGGTGGTCTGAGATGGTTCACGATCGGGGTTGGCCATTGATTGCTTGGAAAAAATGTTGCCTTCCTAAACTACTAGGTGAACTCGGCTGTCAGGATTTGCACCTTTGCAACGTTGCTCATCTTGGAAAACAAATTAGGTGAATGATTCACGACCCTCAAACTCTTGTGTGTAGGGTTCTAGCTAGTTGCTAAATATTACCCTCGTAGTAGCGTGTTAGAGGCTCAATTGGGTACTAGGTCGTCCTTTGCTTGGAGAAGCCTCTACACGATAATAAAGGATCTTAAACCAGGTTTTTAACGGAGGATTGGTATTAACAGTTGAATACGAACGCATAGCGATCCATGGGGTGGGTCTAGGCTAATCTCGCTCTAGGCTACATACGTGGATAGTTCCACTTCCTCGGTTCTTTGTGAGGATTTTATGATTCTAGATATGTCTGTGTGGGACGCCAAACGTGTTAGCAATGTCTTTATAGCAGATGACATGGGTGTTATCCTTCGTTGCCCCATTGCTCTGGTGTATGGTGACATGCTGCTTTGGAGCCATCATGCTTCGGGTTTGTACTCCACCAGGTTTGGCTACCACTGGCTTTGGTGACAGCAGGGTGGTAAGGTTGATTCCTCGACGCTGTGGCATGCGTTGGCCAAGCCCCCTGTTTTACCCAAGATAAGAATCCTTGGTTGGCGACTCGGGATTGACGCCCTACCTGTAGGTTTAAGGTTACGTGCTGCCAGTCTTGAGAATTGACTCGTGCTCTTTGTTCCAACGCTGAGGAGACCACTCTAAATGCAACGAGAGACTATACTGAAACTCGTAGTCTCCTTGTACTAGTTGCAATTGATAGAAGAGTTTGAGAGGGTCGACAAATCTCTTGCAAGTTATGTCTTGAAACTACTTTGGAAGTACTGGACTTAGACATGTTTACATTCCTCATCATAATCCTATGGAATGTTTGAAACTGGAGGAACATGTTGGTGCACGAGAATAGTCTTCATCCGGTATTCTTCATCGTAGACGATGCTCGATTATTGCATCATGATTTCTCAGTAGTGGTCAGGCCTTTGTCGGGTTTATGTTGCACTAGACAAAGCCGCCGGTAGGGGTGGTTAAAATCAATGTTGATGGAACTTTCGTGGCAGCTACGGGACAGGGCACAGTTGGGGTTGTGGGTCGCAATCATGCTGGGCAAGTGATGACCTGCCATGGACGTCCATTTTGTGCCATGCAGGACGCAAACTTTGTGGAAGCTTATGCATTCTGGATTAATTAATATATATTTTTATCTTAAAAAAAGTTTGTTAAATGGATAAATAATATCAATTACTAGTACTACTATGATTATGGGAAAGGTGAACTGAAGCCAAGAAGCAGATACAATGTTCATATATAATCAGTTTGTACAGTGAAATCATTGATTCCCAAGTCACCGTACAAACCATGCACGTACTCCACTATTGCCCCATCATCCATCCCCTGCTTACCCTGCTCAAATCTCAACAAACTAAATATTTCTATTTCTGCCTAAGAAAATAACATACGAGAAGAATGTTACAATAAATGACCTCAAGTAAAAGGGATCCAACAACATGGCCAGGAACTACTTCCCAAAACCGAGCTTCCGACACTTGTGTAACATCTTTAAGACAACTGATCTAACCAAGATCCAAAACAAAAAACTTATCTATTTCACGTAAGAAAAACAATGCATAGCCATGTCAAAGGTAGAGGCGAATTACCTACCTGCTCCCAATATTTGGTCAAAGCTGAAGATGGAATATTAGGTGGTGCCATCTGAAGCAAGACGCCGCCACTAGCTTTAAATACAGGCATTACGAGCATGAATACTGAACACGAAACTAATCCCATGCACAAAGCTTCAGCATTATTTACCCTGCAATGTGCAGAACAAAAATTACGAGACAAACTAGAGGAATGAGCGGTAGGAGTAGATTTTAAGATTGAAGCAAGAAATTACCCCAGAGACAATAACCAGAACGTCCATATCAAACCTACACTGAGAAAACAAACAAACAAATATATATATAGGTTTAAGTCGGACGTAATCGATGAAAGAAAGGAGCAGTCATTGGCATGCATAGAGACAGAACATATCACACCAGCGAATGGAATCTGCAACAACATGCAAGCAAATTGAGTGGTAATTCATATCTTCAGCTTTCTTGTAAACTGCAAGAAAATCATGATTCAACCCCATGTTAAAATTATGCCATCATAACCCTATTAAGCGTTCTTATTTCAACTTGAGATGTAAAATCTCAAAACTAAAGTATTCCCAGTTTCCCACTTACCAAGATTGATTCGAGCATAATTTCTAAAGAACCAAACGCCATTAAGATTCACCATCAGATTTGTCACTGCCGATACGACTAAATAATGTCTGAAGCAGCAAATATATATCATAGACAACTAATTAATATCCTAATGTACCAGCAATCAAAAACAAGATGATCGACTTACTTGTGCTCTGATTCATCTTCGATGAAAGCATGAAGTGCTTCCACAGTTAAGGAGAATGACATGAACAATAGAAACACTGTCTAAACAATTAGACGAATGGAGAATGACATTTTCATTGCAGAAAAGAAAAGAAGAAGAAGAAGAAAAAATTGCTGCAATATTTCTCATTACTAAGAGCTATGTTGCACTGATCATACGAATACGGGGACAGAAACGGCGATGGATACAAGGGCGTGAAATGGTAATTTACAAAATTACATGGTACGGATACGTATTAGGTAATTGAAATGGAATTGGCTTGTCATACCCGTGCAACACAGGCTAAGAGTACATTTGAAAGCAGAAGAGAATATTGGAAATACAAATACTTACGGCATTGGTGAAAGCAGACAATACATTAAGCCTTTGGAACCTAATAATTGTAAAAACATGAAACTATTAGAGCTCAATCATGTACAGATACCATTAAATCCCACCAACTTTTACTCATGGAAATAAAATTTGTATAATCTCACCCGTAAGTGTAAACATGATCAGGCTTTCTTTGAGAAGCTGCCATTGCAAACAATGAAAATGTCAAGAGACCAGACCCTAATGCCAAATGAAATGCATCAGATACCAGACCTGAAAGGACAAGCACAACAACATAAGAAAAGAAAAACAGATAAAAAGCTGAAGAATCAAAATGAATATCGAAGTACAAAGCTGAATAAATTAACTTTTGAAATCGAAAAACCAATAGTAAAATGAAGTAGAATCTGACCAATACGACCCGTAAAGAGTCCAATGGCGAACTCAACTGTAGAACAGGCCAAATTAAGTGAAATCATAAAGAGCAAGCTCTTCATTTGCCGGTTACCGGTTCTCATAATCCGAAAAGCCAGCAAAACCAAATTCAAAACCCAGAATTTATCTTCCTTTACTTGGCCAAAAAATGAATCAGAGTAGCTGACTGGTTTGTTTTTCTCCATTTGATTTGAAATGAATACAAAAAATGGCGAATGTTTATGAAAAACGAAGGTGTAGTTTTTAAAGGTACCATGAAGCCTAGAGTAACTAAGGTGAGTTTTAGATAAGTCGGCCATAAATGTTCCGACCACCGTAGGTTTCACAGTTGGCAATACTTGATTGGTTGATCAGATAATGGAGTAATGGATAATTAATTTTTGCATGCTCTTTGTATCTATTGGCGGCGACTGCAACCAAACCAGTAATGCATGCGGTGCAATGAATAACATTTTAAAGAAGACGATTATAAATAAACATTGTAATATTCTTTTATTAAACCACCAAACTTTTAAATGAGGCTAAATATTTTTTTCTTTAGATAAACGATAATCCAAAAAAATAAACAGTAAAATAATAGTTTTTATTGACCGATCATCATTCTTATCGTCGTCTCAAAATATTAAATTATCAAACTCTTAAATTTAAAACTCTAAAATCTCAAATATTCAATCCTTATACTACAATAAATAATCATCGTCGATCACACGTGGCAAGTTTAGTGTCTTGCAAAAAATTCTCTCATTAATATTTATGTTTGCTTACAAAGTAGAGACGAATATAAGATTTTATGTTATGAGATTAAATTTATAAAATTTAAATTATGAAAAAATTTATAAAATTTAAGAAAGTAAAAATAATTTTTAATATTTTTTTTTAAATTTTAAAAGAGCAACCGTCTTTTGTAAGTCCATCCATATTGCAAGATGTTGTGCAAGGTCGGTCGATAATGTTATTTTCTCCCATTAATAATCAACGTTAAAAAGAGGTTAGATAACATATAAAAAGTTGAACACTTAATATGATAATATTTATAACGCTGGAGAAACAATCGGAGAAAAGTCAACTTGTTCTGTTTCTGGAGAAGCAAAGCAATGGCGCTCTCTGCATCTCTGAATTCGCTTGCCAGAATCCCCGATGCCTCTCCTAAATTCCCAGTAATCTTCAACCTCCTAAAAGCTGCTCCATTGAATTCCAACCTCAAAATCCAACCCATTTTGAAACCCTCTTCTCACTCACTTTTTACTCAACCATTCAAACCCAAACCCCCACGATCCGCTCCCTCTTTACCGGTATCGTCGAAGAAATGGGTGAAATCAAGCAGTTGGGTATGACCGATCACGGCGGATTCGATCTAAAAATCCACGCCAAAACCGTTATAGAGGATGTCCGCCTCGGTGACAGCATTGCCGTCAATGGAACTTGCCTAACGGTGACGAATTTCGACACCCATTTGGGAGAATTCACTGTTGGGTTGGCCCCTGAAACCCTAAGGAAAACTTCGTTGAGTGAATTGGAACCCCGGTCATTGGTGAATTTGGAGCGGGCTATCCAACCAACGGGTCGGATGGGAGGCCATTTCGTGCAAGGACACGTGGATGGAACAGGGGAGATAGTGGGGAAAGACGTTGAAGGAGATTCATTGTGGATCAAGGTTAAGGTGGATAAAAGCTTGTTGAAATATGTGGTGCCAAAAGGATTTATAGCCGTGGATGGAACTAGTTTGACAGTGGTGGATGTGTTTGACGAGGAGCTTTGTTTCAATTTCATGTTAGTAGCTTATACCCAGCAGAAAGTGGTGATTCCTTAGAAGCAAATTGGGCAAAAGGTGAACTTGGAGATGGATATTCTTGGCAAGTATGTTGAGAGACTGCTCACCAGTGGTTTTGTTGATTCCATTAAAGGCTCGTGATTTGCAGAAACCCGTAACAAGGTTGGTTCATTCATGTTTCTCTTATGTTGTTTTTACACTGCATGTTGAATCCGTGGTTAGGATTTAGTTAGAATCAGATTGGTTTGAGGATATGGTAAACTGTGGTGAACCTGTTGGTATCGGTGCGTTCATTATGAGAACCTGTTAAATTGTATGCAATTCTGTATTGAACAGGCATTGTTATTCAGCTGCTATTTCTTTCAGTATCATCTAATATAGTCCATTGCACCTGTAATTTCAATGCTATACTGCTATTGCTTGCTTGTCATTTTTCTTCAGTGTGTCATATGTGCCCAACTGCTGGAATCTGGATTGTAGTGTTCATTTATTAATTAGTCAGTTAGAGGCTGTTGCTTTCTATGTTACTCTTAAAAGTATTTGTGTCCAACATATATGTTGATGCATATTCAAACATGGATATAAGAGTTATTATTATCTTTCATATATATGAAAAATAACTACTTCCTCGTTTGGTAGCAAAATGGATATATTTGTGTGGGTAGTTCTGCTATACAACGGCCTAATCTAAGGTTAATTTGTAGCGGATTTTAACTTAAAATGTTACAATGTCTAATATAAAAAGTGATACAATTGGCAATAGTTTTAGTTACAATCGAGAATGTTACATTGTGGTGGGTTTTAACCTTAAAATGTTGCATGTTTACCCTAAAAAGTTATAAACTTAGTAATAATTTTAGTTACAATCGAGAATGTCTTGAGGGTAATTTTTTAGGTTTCAACCGAAATAGTTGTGCAATTTTAATGATTTGTTATGGAGAACGTAATATTTTCGGTTTCAACCTAAAATGTTAGCTAATTTGTTCTAAAAATTAATTTCTTAGTAAAATTTCCGATTATTGTCTTTTTTTTTCGATTTTTGTCTTTTTTTTTCCGATTTTTGTCTTTTTTTCCGTCGTCTTGTATTTTAGAATCATCCTATTTGTGTACCTTTCCCTTCCTTTCAAATTCAGTCCTCCCAAGTGTGAAATGAAAACATTAGTCTTACTTTAACTAGTCCTTCTAATTATATTTTTATCCTATCATCTTTAGTTCTATGCTTCTTGCCGGTTACCAAACACAATGAAGAAAAACAAAATCAAGTTTCTTCCATTTCCTTTCAAATATTTTGAATTTGTTTTTAGGGGCATCATCACCATGAATTGATCCTTTCGTCATGAGTTGGTTAAGTTCTTACGACTAATATTGCTCTTTTCTCGGTCAATTATTTACCTACATTGATCGTCTTTCATTTCCATTGCCTGACCTTCCAAGTATACGAAAAATAAGAATTTTCTAATGCTAAAACCCAGAGAGATGCAAGAAGATGTTTAAAATGTGGTGGTTTTACTTTTCCCAGAGATGCAAGATCAAGATTTGAATATCAGCAAACCAAGTTGTAGACTTCAGATTTCTCTTGTGAATTCTGCTAGACTTAAAAACATTCATGTTGGTTACTTTGTCTTGCTATTATTTCAGTGTAATCAGATGAACAAGAAGCAAGCATTTTTGTGTCTCCCAATCTCAACCCCATTGCTTTAGAAGACTATATTTGCAACATCCAACATCGTACCTAATAAATTCTATAAGAGCTACACAGTTGTTTCCTCTTCAAACTTTTATTTCATAGACATCAACTCGTTGCTCGACTCTATCTCAACAATCAACTGATAACTTGTGCATTCTGCATGAAAATTGGATCCCAGAAAGCAGAACAAAAAAATTAAAAGGGAAGTAGAACAAAAACCAATGTTCAAAGTGCGGCAAAACAGAGTGAATTCAATAGGCCTGACAATCTGGATGACGACTAACAAATCGAAAGGATAGGAGAATTGTAAGAAGAAAAATGCAATTCATTACACCAATCGAATCAATATTGTAGCGATTTACTACTTCAATGGAAGATGCAGCATCAGACAAAAAGGTAACAACGATTTCACTTGCAAGAATTCTGCCTCTTTGGTAAGATGTGAGAAAGGGAACTCGACCGTATCTCAAACCTGCAAATGATAGTCGAGGGTGAAGGCACGGATATCAGATGGACCAGTCCCAAGCCTGCCAACACACATTAGAAGCAAAACAAACTCGTGAGAGAGAGCTTCTCAATAATTAATAATAAAAGCAATGTGCAATGATCAAAAGAGTATGCTTCTCTAGGTGACGTCATACTGCAAAACAGGCTAAGTAAAAAAAAAAGTTTTATTGGAAAAACTTAAAATTGCATATTTTGACAAACACCAGAAAACATATTTTCCTACCTATTTCTCTGTTTATGCATTAGTGGCAGTTTAATAAATAAAAAACTGAAATACCTTTTGTTAATGGTACCATAGTGAAACTTTACATTCCCAGATTTGACGTCTTCAATGTACTGCATCAACAGAGAGAGAATGCATTTTAGTAAAATTTAAGTTGATAACAATTATTAAACAAAATTCTAACAAGATTTAGTTTTATGGAGGGAAAGAAAGAGAAAAAGCTCATACCAAATTCAAAGTAACAAAAATTGAAGAAAATGCCAAAGAATCAAAGGGAATATTGTCCAATTCGAAGAAAGAGCACTCGGATGATTCTGGTCCGGGTGAAAACTGGGGCTTCTTCAGCTTTGCCAAGAAGATAACATAAGTCTGCTCCAAAATAGACAATGCAATGTAGATTTACATACATCTCCCTTAAATGTACATGGAATAAAGTAATAAAGGATATTTCTTCTAACTTGTCCAATAAGAGGAATATCCAGTTGTGCAAAAAGGCGAAATGACTTCCACTTCAGCACCCGCCTCTTCCCATGTTTCCCGGATTGCCCCTTCAGCAGCGGACTCTCCAATTTCCAGGTAACCAGCAGGAAGTGTCCTATGTTAATGCCATCCAATCATCTCAAATATTTGTAATGGCCATTAGGATACTAGAAACTAGCTACTTCACAATAAAGGCAAGTTTGAGTACCCCATACTTCAAATGCATAATTAGTCTCCTTTTCAAATAAATATCGGAAGATGAAGAGAAAACGGTATTCAATCCTTTTCTAAACCAAATTCCAACCATCCAAATACATACCAAAGACCGAAAGATGGTTCAATGTTCCGCTTGCAAAGTAGAATCTTTCTATCATGCTCAATGAGGCAACCCACAACCTAAAGGTACCAGTTTAGAAAACAGATTAAGCATAAATGTGTAATCTTAAAAAAATCATGATTTAAGTCTGCAACAAAAGTACAAATCAGTAAGGGAAACGCTGATTCAG